CTCACCCTAGTCTGGCAGCAAGGGAAATAGATCAAAGAGCAAGCAGATAGAGGAAAGCGGAGAGGATACATTGTAGCATCCATAACTCCCCACTCCCCCCAGGACACTGGCAGAACCCGCAAGAATAAAGAAATCACCCCCTCCCAACAACTGGGTTCTGACATGCCCCCCCTTAAAAATGAGAGATCCATCTGTAGAGGAAACAAAAGAAGGAGAGAAAGTACATATGGGTTAGTCTGGTTTGTCAGGGTATTTAGCATGAAACTTATTAAGTAGTCTTGGAGCCCTAATGTGTCGTTTATGGACTCAATAGTCCTTCCAAGCTATTAGTGTGTGGAACCATATTTTTTGCAGTTAGGATTTCTTGGACTTCAAAATGCTGCTCTCCTTCTACCATAATCGGTGGAGGAGGAGGAGCTATAGTTGGCCTTAACGGTGAGCTTAATTCTCATTTCAATAGGCTACACAGGTTGAATCTGTCTTAGTGTTTGGGGGAGTTCTAGTTCTACAGTTACCGAATTAATTATCCGCTTAATGGGAATAGAACCCACAAATTGTGGTCCCCAATTCTTTGACAGTTTCAGAGATTTTAAATATTTAGTGGACAGGTATACTTTCTCCCCTACTTGGAAGGGTTTTTGTTCCACTCGTTTTTTATCTGCCTGGGTCTTGTAAGCCTTCCTAGCCTCATCTAATGCTTTTCTTATGACCGGCCAGGTATTTTGGAGTTGTGCAATTCATTCCTTCAGAGAGGGTCAGGCATCGGGTAGAAGCTTTGTCCTGTTGTGACTTGAAATGGCGTATACCCAGTGCTAGAGTGCACAGCATTATTATACGCGACTTCTGCAAAGGGAAGTAGGTCAGTCCAGTTGTCTTGCTGGTAATTTATAAAGTATCTGAAGTATTGTTCCAGTACTGAGTTTGAACGTTCTGACCCACCATTTGTTTGCGGATGGTGACTAGATGACAACCCGAGTGGTCCCCAAAAGGTACAGGAAAGCTTTCCAGAACTCAGATGTAAACTGCACCCGTCTGATATGATCAGTTGTGGGGCTCCATGCAGTCAATATATGTATTGCACAAACAGCTTTGCTAAGGTCTTTGCTCTGGGAATTTTTTGACATGGGATGAAGTGCACTTGCTTAGAGAACAGGTCTGTCACTACCCAAATGACGGTGTTTCCCCCACTTTCTGGTAATTCCACAATAAAGTCAATAGAAACCTCTCTCCAGGGTGCTGATGGGGTTGCCACTGTCTGCAATAATCCTGGGGTCTTTCCTTGTCTCCCTTTGGCTGATGCACAAATGGGACAACTGGCCACATAGCTTTCAATGTCCTTTTTTTTATCAAGGGCCATCAAAACTGCCGTTTCACTAAGTGAAGGATTATCACGAAACTGAAATGCCCAGTCACTTTGGAATCATGACAAAGATGCATGAAGTTTAGTCTCTGGGCTTTTGGGACATAAAGTCCCCCCCCCCCACCTTTGGCAGCCCGTCATTAATTGTGCACAGGTTCTTATGGCTTTAAGAACCATTTGTCCTTTTCTAAAGCTTGCCTGAATTCCACCTCCACCATGCCCGCTAGGAGGTTGGGACTTTTTCTTTGCGCTCACATGGTTACTGGTGCCACTAGTTGCCTCAATGGCATAAGTGGATCTGTTATCTGCTTTTGTACTGTTGTATTGTGGTAATCGTGACAGGGCGTCTGCTAGGAAGTTCTTCCCCCCTGGTAAGTGTCTAATGGTGAAATTGAAGCAATGGAAGTGCTGGGACCACCTCGCTTGTTTGGGGGATAGTTTCCTAGGTGTTTTTAGAGCCTCTAAGTTTTTATGATCAGTCCATATTTGGAAAGGGATTATGTTCCCTTCCAGGAAATGTTGCCATGTCAGGAGAGCCCAGTGAATGGCATAGGCTTCCTTCTCCCACAGTGCCCATCTCTGTTCGGTTTCTGTGAGTTTCCTCGATGTGTACGCATAAGGTTGTAATTTCCCTTTGTTATTCTCCTGGAGTAACACTGCCCCCACTGCTACATCACTGGCATTTGCCTGAATGACAAAAGGTTTTTCGGTGTCTGGGCGCTTCAGGACTGGTTCAGCTGAGAATAGTCTTTTCAGCTTCTCAAATGAGGCTTGGCACTCCATAGTCCATTTCAGTGGCTGGCTGGGCTTCGGCTTCCCCTCCCGAGTCTTTAATAAATTTGTGATGGGCAGTGCGATCTGGGTGAAAGAGGGGATGAACTGATGATAAAAGTTAGCAAATCCAGGAAAACTTTGTAACTGTTTCCGGGTGAGGGGCAGAGCCCATTCTAACACTGCTCGGACCTTTTCACGATCCATCTCTATGACATTTTGAGATATGCGATACCCCAGGTAATCGATCCTTTCCTTATGGAATTCACATTTGGGCAATTTGGCATAAAGTCGGGTGGCTCGTATGGCAACTTATTTAGCACCACTCTGTCCAGTCTGACATGCTCTTCTTTGGTCTCTGTGAATATTAGGATGTCGTCCAAGCAGACAAGCACCCCCTTGTAGAGGTGCTCCTGGAGTACTTCATTTATCAGTTGCATGAACATGGTGGATGCCCCTTGCAACCCGAACGGAAGCACTCTATAGAAACATCCCATGGGGCAATTGAACGCAGTCTTCCATTCATCCCCTTCCTTAATTCTAACCTGGTAATACACCTTCCATAAGTTTTGAAAAAAAAATTCCCTTCGCCAAGTGCGCTAACATGTCCTTCATTAAGGGGAGTGGGTAGAGATTATTCTCGCTCACTGCATTCAGAGATCTATAATCTACGCAGAGGTGAAGAGACCCATCTTTTTTCTTGTGGAATAGCACGGGGGTTTCCGTTTTGGGTTTTGCTGGCTATATGAAACCTCTTGCCAAATTCTTGTCTATAAATTTTTATAGCTCTTCCAACTTTCAAGGGGTCATAAAATATATTTTCAGCTTAGGTAGTTTTGCTCCCGGTAAGATCTCAATGGCACAATCTGTGGGTCGGTGGGGAGGTAGTTCATTGGACTTTTCTTTGCTAAATACTTCAGCTAGATTCCGATATTCCTCAGGCATGCCATGCAGTACCACGTCATTTGCCATTGCTACAGCTTCTGGACCTCTACTCCCTTCTGAGGCCGGGACTCCTCCCCTTACGCCATGTTTTCCTTTTGGGAATCTCAGTTCTCCCATCCTCCAGTCCACTCTTCAGTTCCACTTCGTTAACTATCCCTAAAATAAGGGGGCACTCCATTCCAGGGGTCACCACAAAAGTCAAAGTCTCTGTGTGATCCCCTATGGTAAGTTGGATGGGCTGTGTGGCAAGAGTGGCTGGAACTCCCCCTGCGATGGACCCAGCTAACTGGCCAAATGAAATTGGCTTCTTCAGCCTCCTCACTGTGATTCCTAAGTTCCCCACCAGGGTTGGGCTTATGAGGCAGCGGGTGCTGCCTGAGTCTATCAGGGCTCTTAACAAGATCTTTTCCGGCACCCCTGGGCTAAACAGTTCTACGACTCTGGTGAGGGGCATGATAGGTCCACTTACCAGGGGTTCATCCTCCACGTTGCTGTCAGAGGATTCTGGTGGTTTTCCTCTTGGGATCGGAGTACCTCCCCTCTTTGTTGTTGGGTTTGGACCTCGACGACCTCCACGCTTTTGGTCGCTGTGGTGTTTTCCCAGGCTTTCCCCCTCCGGCTCAGTCCTGCTTCCGCACGGAGGTCTTTGAGTGGCACTCAGCTGTGTGGTGTCCCTCCTTCCCACACTTGAAACAGGCCGACGACCTAGGTGTTGCGATGGGTGGTCTTGTTGGCTCCCGGGCCCCCTCCGAGGGTGACCGTCCCCAGGACCATCCCAGGCATCACTTTCTGTGGGCTCAATCGATTTTGCCTTCTTTGACCAGGATGTATCAATTGTGAAGTTGATCAGGATACCCCTGGGGGATACAGGCGTAATATAGATCGTTCAGCCCATCTTTAAAATGGCCCATGAGGACTTCCTCCGGCCAGTTGAGTCGGCTTGCCAGGGCTTGGAATTCCTCTGTATATTCAGCTACAGGGTGACGAACTTGCCTCAATGTTTTAATTCATTCTCTAGCCTTCCAATCAGCCAGGGGATCTTCAAACCTCCTCCTTAGGGCAGCCATGAAGTGACTGAAATTACGCAGCTCTGGAGCATCGGCGTCATGTAGGGTCAGAGCCATGGTTACGATTCTCACCCGCCCATGATCGCTGGGGATGTCATGGCCATATTCTTCCATATAACTCAGGATGTGGGCCAGGAAAAACCCTAAATTTCTAGGGTTCTCTGTTGTACTTTATCCCCAAGGATGGGATCTTCTGTCCGGACCAGTGGCCTCTCCTCTGTCTGGCCTTGTGTCCGTCTCTGCCAGCTGGTGCGACTCATGCTGGGGTGGCAGCCGCGGCCGCTGCAGTCTCCGAGGTGCTGGTGGAAGGGCCCGGGTTCACGACCTCGCTCTCCATGCACTCTTCTTCTGTCATGCCGTGGTCACCGAGCCCTGGCATGGAGCCATCTTCTCCTCCTTTAGGGAGTTGAAAGCGACCCTCAGCATGTCAACAGCTTGTTATAGGAACTGGCTAGAGCGGGCCAGTCTCTCATCCTCTTCCTCACTAAGCTGGAGCGATCTCTCCATCTCCCGCTTTCCACCCCAGCTGGTGGCTGCCCCGTTTGAAGGTCACCTTTCTGGATTTCACCTCCCAGTCTTTTTTCTTCCCAACACCCATGGACCACCTTGGCTTATCCCGGCGCTTGGTGGCTACAGCTTCGTCGGAGGAACTGGAGGAGTGTTAACTGGGGGGGAGCTTCCCCGCCTAAGTTGCCTTCTCCTTTCTCTGTGCCATGGTTCGACATCGTTTGCACTGTCTCCACGGTAAGGGTCTTCCTTCTGGACTGACCAAAATTGCAGATCCTGCTTAAAGTAAGGACCTGCCTCAATCCCTCTTCCCAAGAAAGCAGAACTCCTGGAACAGCTTCATTCTAAAAGGAATTTTTATTAGGAGAAATTGACAGCAGGCATAAAAGGCAGAATCTGAGAGTTTCCCACGTGAATCAATAGATTAAAAGAGTACTTGCAAACCCCGCCCCAATAGTCAGTCCAGCTGGTTCAAACGGCCCAATCCCCAGGTATGAATCTGCTGTGGGAACTGCAGATAAGGCGCCATTCCCAAGGTTGTTAGACTGTTACGTCTTAGTACCTCTTCTTCTGCAGCTAGAGATAAGGCAGATGGCTGGAGGCACATTCCATTCTCACCCTAGTCTGGCAGCAAGGGAAAGGATAGAGGAAAGCGGAGAGGATACATTGTAGTACCCATAACTCCCCCTTCCTCCCAGGATATTGGCAGAACCTGCAAGAATAAAGAAATAACCCCCCTCCCAACAACTGGGTTCTGACACAAGTCCAAAAATGCTAGGTAATTTTTAGAAGCTTGGCATTCTGATAAATTAGCCATCACAAGTCACATAGACATAATATCTATAGATTATGCAAAATAGACAATCAACAAGCCAAAAGGGTAACAAAAAGACCAAAGCACTTCTCCACCAACAATCAGCACAAATTTCACCTTTACAATAAATTGAATTTTTATTTTTAATGGATTTTTCTTGTAAAGAATTCATCTCAGAAATGTCAAAGAATCGCCCTTCTCAGAAAAGCTGAACAGCAGGTATCCAGCTTATCACCAATGAATAAAACAGTACTAAGCAGCATTCTAGGCCAAGTTTTTCTTTAATGGCAGGTTTTCTACAAACGTATCTACTAAGCCTACGTATTATCGTCGCAACCTCAGGAAGAAGGCATGTTTGCATTCCTTACTATCCAAAGGGTAATATTTGTCATAAAAATCTAAAATATATTCCTCAGTTTTAAATCCAAACTTCTGATATAACAGCATTGCAGAATTACTAGCAGAGACATGGAGAGTTGCATCTTTTCCCATGCAAGTCTGTAAAAAAGAAGAAAAGAAAAAAAGAATTATATCAAAAAGGTTATATATGATTCCTCTTCTTTAATAAGATAAATAACCTAAGAGAGTGGAAATACCAGATCCTATATTAGCTTCCATATAACACTGTCCATGTTGTTATCTTGTAAGGAGTAAAATATTGGCACTGAAAATGAGTTCTTACAACATTGATAAGTAAGAAGGACAAAGAGAATTTCAGATTAGTCAGTTAAGGAAACCTCAAGAACACCACATTTGGAGAAGTGAACTTTTTTTTATTAACTGACATATTACTTAAAATGTTTTGAAGGGTTTAGATGCATTTTGTGGTCCTGACATGTGGTTATAGTAGTATGTTGGTTGTATCTGAGATGTTTTTGATATATGCTATTGTTGTCATTTTCATACCTTATATTGGTTGTGCTGTAGTGAGTTGAATGGTCCCATACTTTTTGATAAAGTTGTATGAGTATCTACTTTGTTGGAAGATGTTACATAAAAGGTCTGTTTTCTTTTTCTGGTTTCTGAGTTGCTGCAATATGTTTGTGTTTGTCTGAATAATGTTCTTATACAGCTCTTCTTGTGAGAGGTTGTGTTGTTAGTTTGATAGTGGAGCATTAGTGTGGGCAGTTTTTCAATAGACTTGTGTTTCTAGTTTGCTACCATTTCCTCTACTGTTGAGGATATACAGGAATGGTACTACCTTTTTTCTTCTTCCTTTATGAAATATATTCCTTTGAAGATGTTAATTTTTCATGTGTCTTCTCTAGTTATTGCTTTTTTTTATTATGACAAAAATGCCTACCTATTGCGTCCATACTTTCAGTTGAATGTGTGGATCTGCTATTACTTCTAGAATTGCATTACAGTTCTGAATCCTTTTCTCTCTCTCAATAATATAGATAAAGAAAAAAGAAAAGAAAGAAAAAGGGGGGGAAATAAAAGGAAAAATAATGTGCAAATCTCTTCCTTTAAGAAAGAGATTTCCCATCCTTATCATGACAAGTATAAACAATTTCATAATCTCTTTACCCCTTCCTTAACAAGTATAAAACACTTCATCCCCTAACCCTTAGTAATAAAGAGCTCAAATAAGTAAATCTTTTCCTTATCAATTGCCATCAAAGAATCCAAGCAGAGCTCCAAAATATTAAAATCAATTAACAACTATAAAGTCAACATTCCAAGTCTTGACTATTAGCTACAGTGTAAGTGAAATCCCTATTTTAAAGGCACAAAAAAGTTCAAATCATCTAATACAAACCAAACCTGAAATTTTACACAACAGAAAGAGATCTTTTCCCCTTTAAAAAGACACCAGTAACCAGTAACACAAACCAAATGTCAGTTATTGCAGAGATAATTGCCCAAATAGCAATGTATCTCATTCCATATCTCAACTCTAACCAACTCACAAATATAAGTTCATATATACACATACTGTGTTTCCCTGAAAATAGACCCAGTCTTATATATTTTTTGCCTCAAAAAGAGGCACAAGGTCTTATTTTCAGGGAATGTCTTACCTTAGGACCGCTGCAGCCAGGCCTCCCACGCCCCGACACCTGTTACACTGCTGCTTCTTCAGCGGCTGCTTGCCGCCGTTTGCAGCCAGATGCCACATGGCGTATTGCGCCGGCACCACTTGCAGCCAGATGCCACATGGCGCATTGCGCTGGCAGTCATGGCAGAATACCACATGGTGCTTCATGCCGATACCACCAGTTCTGGCATGAGGCTGCACGGTGTTCCAGGCCATTTGCAGGATGCCACATGGCGCTTTGGGCTGTTGCCGCTGGTTGCAGCAGGATGCCACATGGTATCCTGTCATGACCGGCAGCAACAGCGCAAAGCACCTTGCGGCCTCCTACAAATGGCCCGAAGCACCGCATGGCGTCCTGCCATGACCTGTGGCAATGGCCCAAAGCACCTTACGGCCTACTGCAAATGGCCCAAAGCGCTGCACGGCATCCTGCCGCAAGGAGCAGCAACAGTCCGAAGCACTGCATGGCGTCCTGCCGCGAGAAGCAGCAATGGCCTGAAGAACTGTACGGCATCCTGCTGCAAGGAATGGCAATGGCCTGGAGCGCTACATGGCATCCTGCCACGAGGAGCAGCAATGGCCCGAAGAGCTGCGTGGCATCCTACCGCAAGGAGCAGCAATGGCCCGAAGCACTGTGCAGCCTCCTGCCACGACCAGTGGCACCAGTGTGATCAGCCACGTGGCACAAGAAGTTTCAGGGTGTGGGAGGCCTTCCTGCGGCAGTCCATCCAGTAATGTAAGCAGGTGCGGGGCGCGTAGGGCAAGTTAACCCCCCTACATTCGCCCTAGCTTGATTTTAGGCATGTGCCTCGCCCCAAAACTAGGGCTTATTTTTGGGGTAGGACTTATATTAGGTTCACCCCAAAAAATCAAGCTGGAGCTTATTTTCGGGGTAGGGCTTATTTTTGGGGAAACACAGTACACACCTAAAATGTGATCTAACACCCAATTTCCCCAAATAAAATCACACAATTAGATGCTAAGCATTTAAATATTAAACAATTTAGGAGTTCTAGTTTTGCATCGTAGCGACATTGACAAGGGATTGCGAAGCTCCGCACCCCATGGCTGGTTTCGTCCTGCCAGAGGACCCTAAATGGGTCTAAAGTTGCCCCGGAGAAGTGACGAAGGAGGATAGGATACGATAGGAGCGGAGCTGGAAGGGACCTTGGAGGTCTTCTAGTCCAGCCCCCTGCTCAAGCAGGAGAACCTATACCGTCTCAGACAAGTGATTGTCTAGTCTCTTCTTAAAAATCTCCAGTGATGGAGCGCCTATAATTTCTGGAGATAAGCTGTTCCATTGGTTAATTGTCCTCACTATCAGGAAGTTTCTCCTTAATTCTAGGTTTCTTCTCTCTTTGATCAGTTTCCAACCACTGCTTCTCATTCTTCCTTCTTGTGCAACATGACCCCCTCTTCTTTGTGGCAGCCCCTCAAATACTGGAATACTGCTATTATGTCTCCCCTATTTCTTCTTTTCTTTAGACTAGGCAAACCCAAATCCTGCAACCGTTCTTCGTATGTTTTAGTCTCCAGGCCTTTGATCATCTTAGTTGCTCTTCTCTGAACTTTTTCCAAAATCTCAGCATCTTTTTTGTGATATGGTGACCAAAATTGGCTGCAGTATTCCAGGTGTGGTCTTACTAGGGTTTTATAAAATAATACTAATACTTTGTGTGATCTTGATTCTATGCCTCTGTTTATACAACCCAGGATTGTATTAGCTTTTTTGGTTGCTGCTGCACAATGTTGGCTCATAATCAAGTGATTGTCCACTAGGACTCCAAGGTCCCTCTCACAGTTACTGTTTTTGAGCCAGGTCTCGCCCAATCTGTACTTGTACCTTTGATTTTTCCTGCCTAAATGTAAAACTTTGCTTTTCTCCACATTGAAACTCATTTTGGTGGATAGGGCCCATTGTTCAAGTTTGTCAAGAACTTTTTGGACCCTGAGTTTGTCTTCTGGGGTGTTGGCTACTCCTGTCAGTTTGGTGTCATCTGCAAATCTGATGAGTTCCCCTTCAATTCCCTCATCCAAGACATTGATAAAGATACTGAAGAGTACTGGGCCTAAGACGGAACCTTATGGTACCCCACTACTTACTTCTCTCCATGTGGATGTGATGCCATTGAAGACTACTTGTTGAGTACGCTTTGCCAGCCAGCTACAGATCCATCTGGTAGTGATGTTGTCTATTCCACCTTTTTCTAGCTTACCAAGGAGTAGGTTGTGGTCTACCTTATCAAATGCCTTACTGAAATCTAAGTATACCACATCCACTGTGTTTCGCTGGTCTACTAGTTTAGTCACTTTATTGAAGAATGAGATGAGGTTGTTTTGGCATGATCTGTTTTTAACAAACCCATGCTGGCTACTAGTTATATAACTTTGTTTGCTTCTAGTTGTTCGCAGATCTGTATAAGATTAACTTTTCTAGGATCTTCCCAGGTATTGATGTTAAACAGATTAGTCTGTAGTTTCCTGGGTCCGTTTTTTCCCCTTTCTTAAAGATGGGAACCACATCAGCCCTTTCCCAATCCTCAGGTACTACTCCGGTGCTCCAGGATTTATGAAAGATGTAGTGTAATGGTTCTGAGATAACATCTGCCAGCTCTTTCAGAACTCTGGGATATAATCTGTCGGGTCCCGGTGATTTATACTCGTCAAGGTCGGATAGGTGGTCTCTTATCATTTTCTTGCTTATTTTAATTTTTGTTTCTAAGTTTATCTTTTGCAGTGGTTTTTTTGGTATGTTGGGGTATAGTTTCTTTTTGTGTGATGACTGATGCAAAGTATGAGTTAAGCAGCTCTACTTTTTCCCTGTTGCCTGTTATTTCCTTGCCATCTTCTCATTTTAGTGGACCTACAGTTTCTTTGACTTTTTTCTTGTTGTTAATGTGTTGGAAGAAATATTTTTTATTATCCTTGATTTCTGTTACAAGTCTTTGTTCGTTCTGAGCCTTTGCTTTCTTGACTTCATCTTTGCATGTTCTGGCTGTCTGCTGATAATCGGACTTAGTTATGTGCCCCCCTTTCCATTTTTTGTATTTGTCCTTTTTGTCTTTCAGTTTGTCAGAGAGATCTTTGTGCAGCCGTGCTGGTTTCTTCTTGAATTTCTTGTTTTTCTTTTTCAGTGGTATTGTGTTGGTATGGGCTTTTATTATTGCATTTTTCAGAGTTTCCCACGCTTCCTGGGTTGTTTTCCCCTTTAGGATTTTCATCCATGGGATCTTTCCTAGGTTAAAAAGATTTTTTTTTAAAATCACCCACACCAACCAAGTGCTCCACTACCAAAGCAATAACCCAATCTCCCACAAGTGAAGCTGTGTAAGAATACTATTTAGAAGAGCACAAACACACTACAACAAAATCCTAAACATCAGAAAAAAGGAAATAAGCCATCTATACAACATCTTCCAACAAAATGATTAGCCACACAACTTCATCAAAAACTGCC